CAAAATAATAAAAATCAAACTATGTATTTTTATATCTTTTTAGATGCCTTGACTATTTAATTCAACTGTATAAATCTTTTTTTTTCCAGGTCAAATTCAAAAACAATAAATAAAACTTTATTATTTTTAGCCAAATAAAAAATATTAGCCTAAATAATATAGTTCTAACTAAGTTTTATTATAAATATTATTAGAAAAAGGTATAAAATATATTTTTTATTTTTCAAAAAATGCCATATGGATAGAAAAATCCACGTGGCAGGCGAGTGCATACCACTTTCCTAGGATGAGATCGTCCAAGGGGGTAACAACTATCGAATAACCAAGTATATGGTGTAATTAAGACCACAAATAGTTCAAGAATATAATCAACAATACGTGTCAAGTTTAGGAGGTTTTTAAAGATATTTTGTCCAACATAATATGACTTTCTTTTCTGGTTATTTTGTCCTATTTGGTGATTGGAAGTATATTTTTTCCTCCATATGATAAACGTTTGTTTCTACCTGCCAAATATGAGTAATTATCAGTATAACTGTTACTTGAGGATAAGTTGGGAATAATATATTTATGGACCAGCTGTACACCAATTAGAATATAAGAATATATTGCACTAGTAATTAAAGTAAGCATATTTAAAATTAAATAACATATCTTTAGTACGATGAATCAAGTATCCTATAATAATCCAAGTAATTACTACTACAACAATAACAACAACAGCAATAACAACCCAGTGTAATTGCACTAGTGGAATATTAGGAGGGTAGAGTGTATGCAGACCTTACTCCTACCTTCAAGAAGGCAGAAAGGTTATTCCCGATAGACCCTCGGTTCAGGAAAGGTAAAAGAAGGACCAGGGCCGGCCTAATGGCCAAGCAAGTAAAGCCGTTGCTTAGGGCCACTTATTTGTAGGGGCCCAAAAAATTTCTAACAGTTAATATATTTGTCCATTTTTTTTTAACAATATTAAGTATTTGAAAAGAAAAAAAAATGCAAGTTTCAAGGAAAAGGGCAGTTGGAGGACAATTGGAAAAGGAATATATTTTTGGGATCTATTTCTTATTTACGCGTGAACATTCCACAATCTTGCCTCATTTATATAGGGGATTTGCAGTCGTACCCTATATTTGTGCCACCTTTTAACTTGTACCCTATTTTTTAAAATTCTTGATTTGGTAGCCATCTTATAAAAAAAATGTAATAATATGACAATTACACCCCTGACAAAAGATATAAAATAATCTCCTCTCCTCTCAACAACTTTATAAAAAAATCAAAAACTTGTCCAGATTCATCTTCAGAATCACACTTGCATGAAGTTGTTTCACCTTGAACCTAAAACTTCATGCTAATGTAGCATGAAGCTGTTTCATGTTGAAGCTAAAACTTCATGCTAATATAACATGAAGTTGTTTCACATTGAAGCTAAAACTTCATGCTAATGCATGCAGAAGTTATTGATCTTACAGTGTATAGTTTTGTCATAAATTTTATCTGAAACTTCGGACTAAACATGCTTAAGTTATTTAGTTCATTTGCTAAATTTTCAAACAAAACATGCTGAAGTTATTTAGTTCATTTGCTAAATTTCAGACAAAACATGCTGAAGTTATTTAGTTCATTTGCTAAAATTTCAGACTAAATATGCTTAAGTTTTTGTCTTGCAGTATGTAATTTTCTAAAGAGTTTTTGCTAATGCATGTTGAAGTTATTTAGTTCATTTGCTAAAATTTCATACCAAAGCATGCTGAAGTTTTGTAACGTAGTCTACAGTTTTGTCCCGAGTTTTATCCGAAACTTTAGTATAAACAAGCTGAAATTTTTTAGTTTATTTGCTAAAACTTTAGCCTAAATATGCTTAAATTTTTGTCATGCAGTTTGTCAATAGTCTTTTATTAAAGAAAAGAAAAAACGTCTTTTTAAAACGCTTTTAACAAAAAAAAATAGGCACGGATACAAACAGAAAAATAAAACGGGTATAAGTTAAAAATGGGTGACCAAATAGGGTGCCCCATGCAATTTTTACTATTTATGTACCATCATTATTATAAATGGGCCCACATTCTTTTTATCTTTCTCTGCAAAAGTCCCTTCGTTTAGGTAGTTTGACTCGGTACGGAGTTTAAAATAATTTTTTTTTTTTTTTGAAACTTGTGATTTTAAAAGTTTAAGGGGTAAAAGTTTTGTGGGGCCATGACATTTGTGTGGTTATAAAAGCTTCTCATTAAGGGTATAATGAGTAAAATGAAGAGTTTAAAGTTAAATTATTTTTAATTATAGAAATGTGTCATTCTTTTTGGAACGGACTAATAAGGAAAGTGTGTCATCTAAATTGAAATAGAGGGAGTAAATTTTTTATTCTTCTATTGTTCATTTGGCCTTCTCTACATTCCAATCTCATTGAGTCACTATCACAAAATAAAAGAGCAGAACATAAGTACCATATGTTTTATTTGTTCTCAAGTATTTTGGCGTTACATCAAGAATTTTAAAGTAGCAAAAGCTTATGATTGTTCTATATTTTATTATTTGCATCTACTTTTTATTTTTTTTGGATATATTTTCTTTGTAAGTATATATTATCTTTTTAGTTATTTATTAGAGTTTTAAAATGTCAACTAGAAAATATGAATTCGAACGTTCAAAACGTCAAAAAAGGAAAATGATTGAAACTCTAATACAATCCCAAAAGGAGCACTTGATAAATTTGTGGCGAATAGTAAAACTTCTAAATCAAAAAATGTGAAAGATTTTATGATAGATGAACAAATCACTAATATAATTGAGATAGACAATAATAAAATTCAAGAAGAAGATGAAGGAGGAGAAGTTGGCGAGAAACCTAACATATATCCTCAAGAAAAACAAAAAGTTCTAAATAAGTTGGATAATTATACTTCTAGGAACATATATGATCCTAGTCAATGGACTAGTATAGATACAAAGTTGAGAGATCTATTGATATTGATTAGTAAACATATTCTTTATCAATTGAAAAAGAATTATTAGAAGAAATCGATTATAAACAAATTATTAATAACTTCGCATTTCAAAAAGCTAGAAAAATAAATTCAAATAAAATTATGAGTTTTCTTCTACAACAAAAATCTTAGGGCCCCTTATTGAAGTTTGGCTTTAGGCCACAAATATCATTGAGCCGCCCCTGAGAAGGACAACAACAAGCATACCAATCGAGAAAAACCGAAGCAAAAACACAAAATTAACAATAGGTGTTGTAATTAGAAAGCCGAAACGAAAGCAACAACAAGTAATAACAAAAGTGAAGGGATACGAGAATACACAAACAGGACAATGCTCGGCTACCTATCCTAACCCTTTACCTTTATTTTCAACCTCCATTGCCTTCCTATCCATGATCATGTCCTCAGTAAGACGGAACAACGCCATATCTTGCCTAATCATCTCTCCCCAATACTTTTTCGCTCTGATTCTACCTCTACTCAGGCCTCCGGAGCCAAATTACTAGGAGTATTCTATACTAGAGTGTAAATTTATTTTTATAATTTATGTATCTTTTGTATGCCATTTTTATAATTCATTTGGGATTATCAATTGTCAAACATCGTTAAGTCTTTGAATATGATAGACTCGAGTCTTTGAATATGACAAAACAATACGGACTTTTCAATTGACTAATCAATTCTTCCAATTTATTTTTTTAATACGATAACTGACCTCCAAAATATAGCTAACTCACATGTTACAATGTTGAGAAAATATACTATAAAAGTCTGTTTTTAGTATGTTATCTTCACTTTATACAAGAAATGTTTTATTTAACTCGACGGATATTTAGATTTAAGATTTTCATTTGATTAACCAAAAAATACCCCCTATAATTAAATCCTGGTCCACCTTTACCTAACAAAATTCTGATTTATATAGTAGGACTAAAGAGATAATGAACAAATGGCTCTATTAATTTTACTTTACTCAGGTTAGTTTGCTTTGCCTAACTAGGAGGCTGGTTTTAAAGATTTTGCGTGACCACAACAACCGCCTAGTAAAAATTGGCTATTCATGTAAAAAACTGGCTGCTTCATAAATTCTAAATGGAAAACATCTCACTGTACCAAAATGCTCAGATCCTTTGGTACTCATCTAAGGTAAAAACTAATGAAAAATGATACTGTATAGCCGCTGTAAAAATAATAGCCGAAAAAATATATAAAATTTGTATATATATATATATATACATATTTTGTATGTTATATATTATACAAGTTTTATATACTTTTTCGGCTACCAGATGTAAAATAATTTCTGGTGGGGGCTAAACGTGATAATACCCCAAAAACTAAAAACTTACTCGCACCCGGTGCTGACTTAAATTAGTAAGTATTCATCAACCTCCGTTACTCCGTTGGACTTTTTCTTTTAGAGAGTATTTGATAGAAGGCATTATTTATGAAAAAATATTTTATTGAAAAATATTTTCCATGGTTATTTGGTAGCTGAATGAAATATATTTTTCGAGTAAAATATATACTAAAGATTAATAATATTAGCACATTGAATAGTATTTTGGTGAATTATTGAGTAATAAAGATTAACAATAATGTGCAATTGTATGTTGGAGCAATTGATATGGAGTTAAAAGTTAAGATAATTGTAATGAATTCCGCTCATGACTAACTGAGGTTGATAGAAAATATTTTTCCTCAATGACTTCCTCCACATAAATATAAAAAAATCTCACGCAAAGTTAGACTCATGATGCGCATTTAAGTCACACATCACGTGATACGCTCTTACAACTGAACCAATTAAAATCCGTGACACTAGAATGAGCCCTTTCTTTGGTTACTTCTTTCCTTGATCGTTGAATATTTTATGAATTGATCATCCTATCTAACGGGTTCCCCTTTTAAAACATTGTTCTTCCTCACACTAATTCCTTATATGCGACATAAGTTAATTCATCAACTATGCCTCTATCCCAAACAAGTAATAATCAACTTTATCTTACACAAAAGTAACTTAAAAGTTTTTGTAATCACCCTTTCTTTCAAATCTTTTACAAGAGAAAAAAGAAAAGTAGTACATTAACCAACAGGGCTAAACGAAAAATGTTGGAAACAGCTACCAGAAATGTAAGTCAAAAAATTGAATCCCAAATCAGATCAGCTAAAGAACAACCTTGTTCAGTTCCAATATAGGACTTTGCTGAGGATGTTCAGATGACTCTCAGGCAGCATTGTCAGATCTTTCATCGCTGCTCGCTCTACAAACTTCAGAACCATTAATGTGGCCATTGGCATCGGAACCATATACGTGCCCCAATTTCACACGTTTGGTCTCTAAGTATCTTTTATTTTCTGTAGTTATAGGCGCCAACAGCGGAACTCTACCTGCAATTGCCAGACCATATCCTTTGAGCCCAACATACTTTGCAGGGTTGTTTGTCATCAGTTTCATTGTACGAACACCTAAATCTCGAAGTATCTGAAATCAATACATTAACGTTCAATCATCGAAGTTTAAATGAAAAGCATAAACAGGAGAAGTTGCTATTAACATGTGCCTCAAGAAAATTGCACTTGTTTTACTACTAGCCAACAAATTTTATATTTTTATTTCTTAATAAAAAGAAGGTAACTTTCTTTCAGTCAATACCTGTGCACCAATGCCATACTCCCGAGAATCAACAGGTAATCCCAACTCTTCATTAGCTTCAACCGTGTCATGCCCATCATCTTGAAGATTGTAAGCGCGAAGTTTATGCCCCAAACCTATTCCCCGTCCTTCATGTCCACGGAGATATACTAACACGCCTCTTCCAGCTTGCTCAATTTGCTTCATTGCAAGTGCCAACTGCTTGCCACAGTCGCATCTCGCTGACCCAAATATGTCGCCGGTGAGACATTCCGAGTGCACTCTGACAAGAACATCTTTCCCATCCCCAATATCACCCTATCCAAATCATGAGCCTTGTCAAGATTAATCAGAAAGATACTTCCTATGCAAATCTATCATGTATTGACAGCATTACATTTTTTTTTTTAAGATTAGTGAAATAAATGCCCAATTCATAATAAAGGCTTGTAAAGCAATGTAAGAAAATGAAAGAAAGGAGCAGTTTTTTCAAGCCATCTGATCACAGCTTTGCTTACTTTGACCATGGCAATATGCTCAATACCATCCAAGACAGACTTAAAACAGTAGGCTTTAAAAGGTCCCCACATTGTTGGTATTGGTGCAGCGGCAGCTAGCTCCACCAGTTTCTCTCTCTTCCTTCTATACCTGCCATTGGATATGGAAGTTAATACACTTTTTGTCGCTTGACTAAACATTAATCAGGAAAGATGTAAACAAATACTGAGTATATATATATTGACTATTGAGTGGTTAGTGTCACTATTTAGTAGACCTGCAAAATAAAATGACAATTAGAGCAGTTCTCATCCACATGGAATCTTACTTATATCAAAGAATTGGCAAAACAAGAAAACAATGTCTTTCACAATAAATGAGCAAGTGAGGGTTGTCTATGCTCTCTCTTGCTAAAGGGATTTCAACTTGCAAGAATAGGTACTCCCCTCAGTCCCATTTTATAAGACAGTACCCTCAGTACAAATCTATAAGATAATCACTATTTGGAGAGAGAGAGAGAGAGAGAGAGAGAGAGAGAGAGAGAGAGAGAGAGAGAGAGAGAGAGAGAGAGAGAGAGAGAGAGAGAGAGAGAGAGAGAGAGAGAGAGAGAGAGAGAGAGAGAGAGAGAGAGAGAGAAAGAGAGAGAGCCTTTTTCTTGATCACAATTTTCTAAAAATGTTATAAATAATTTTAACTTTTTTTAGAAAGTCCAGTTTATAGTTCTGTCTATGTAGTTTCTGAGATATGAAAGCTGATAAATGTTATTTTGCATTTATCAAGTCTTTTACCTGATCAAATCGGCAATGGATATAATCTTTAGGTTCTCAGCCTCAGCGAATTGCTGAAGCCTCGGCAACCTGGCCATGGAACCATCGTCATCCACTATTTCACAAAGAACAGCAATGGGGTCCAACCCAGCCAAAACAGCAAGATCAACAGAAGCTTCAGTATGGCCAGCTCTTTTAAGCACCCCTCCTTCTCTATACTTCAGTGGGAAAATATGTCCAGGTCGATTGAAATCCTCAGGTTTTGAATCTTTGGATGCCAGAGCCAATACTGTTTTTGCCCTACCACGAGCGGATACACCTGTTGTGGTACCATATTTTGCATCCTGTATATCATATCCAACTAATATGTGTCAATGGCTGAGACAAATTTGAGACTGCGGACACAAAACAAATATCAGAGCAACATGCGCTGTGGTATATGCTTTTGACTTCTGAACACAGAACAGCTCAATCAATTACGAACTTAACAAGTGAACCAAAGATTTTTCAAGACAAAAAAACCAAGTAAAATTATTGGAAAATAACTGCTCTCAACCATTGTTTAACTGATCACAAATATATCCAACAGAATAGCAGCTATTGAACGATCTTTCGATCATGTATTTAATTTTGATATATGACAAGCATTACTTTTGAACCAGCCCAAAGACAATCATAGACTAATGAACATCGACCTCACACAATCAGCATCGAACTCTTAATAAAAGATCGGTCCTGAGGAGGAAACTAATCACAGATATAAAAGTAAATTTTTTTCTCGGGCCGGATAGTAGCTTCTAGAACTATAAAGAAAAAAGTAGTGGACATACCACAGAAACAGTGAAAGCAGTAGAGAGTTTCTCCTCATTTTCTTTCGGTGGCACCATTAGTGGAAGTTGAAGCCGGTCTAGATCTTCATCTTTCATACTTACACACACAATTCCAGTTCCATGTTTTACAATGAAGGCCATTGCTTCAGGTGTCGCTAATTGTGCTGCCATTATTAGATCACCCTCATTTTCTCTGTCTTCATCATCTACGACAATCACCATCTGCAAGCCTTTTTCCAAATTACTAAAGAGATGAAAGTATAAGTTTTGAACTTTCCTCCATAAATAGAGGCGTGCGGGCCGGGNGAGAAACCCACTTCTGTTTGGAGTTATTTCAGCGGTAGGTGTTCCGACAGCTATTGCATCAGGTTGTTGTTGAATTCCAGCTCCATGATTAACAAAAGAACCATTTTCTGCACCTCGGTTGCTATAACAGGACCAAGCATTGTCTTCTCCTGATATAAATGTAGCCCTTACTATTTTGCCGCTGCTTATGAAGCTGAAGGGTAACTTTCTAGCAAAACTTAGCGAGGACAAATCTGATTTGTAGTTTGCTGTAGTTGGATTGACAAAATTCAGAGCATGGTCGGATCTAATAAGAAAGAGAACATGAAATACAATTATAAATGAAGCCTGATATTAGAAGACAAAATGGCAAGCCAGAGAAGTAAAATACTTGATTTGTTATATGAGCTAAATCCTCTAACCAAAAGTTTTGCAATACCAGTCATCTCAGGAACTTTACAAGCATGAGGAGCAAATTGAAGTTGTCAGCTTGACAACCGAATTTGGAATCCACACTCAAAATTTGCAGACCTACGCAAATTGAAGTGTGTAGCCTAAACTCTAGAAGTTGGACAGCCAATATGGGAGAGGCGTCGTGTTTAAAATTGGCGGATCTAGAATTTTTATTCTATGGCAGTGTTGTCAGAAGCGAAAAGCTCTAAAAAGCGCTCCAGGTCTATTGGGGCTTTAAGCGCAAAGTGCAATTAAAATGTGAGCTTTAGTAAAAAAAAAGGCACAATGATGGAAAAAATATATATATATGTAATTCAAGAAGAAAGAGTAACAAATTCACTCATAATGTTTCACTTAACAACTAATACACTTATTATTATTGTTGTTTAGTACTGCTCTATTCAAGATAGAACTTATGGGCAATAAGGCACACGCCTTACTGCTTTGCTTACACTGAAGTGCAGCTTAAGCGAGGCGAAGCGTGCTTCCTGAGCTTTTCTGAGCTTCAGGGCTTAAGCGCACCTTAAGTGAGCCTTTTACAACACTGTTCTATGGGTTCAACATTTAAAGTTTTTTGCATTGAACCCATTATATTTTAAAATTATGGGTTCATATCTACTATATATTATAATTTTAAGTGATTTTTCTACAAAATTGGTGCTCCGTGTCGGAAGTGCTGGGTTCAGTTATACCTGGTAACTCTATGTTGCATCCGCCCCTGGTTTAAATCCTTAACTTCAGACCATATCTAAGTGACAACAACTACACCTCCATGCCAAGCTCGTTTGCCTTTGCTATATGAATCCTCATATCCATTCACTCCATATGGACCTGTTCCATTGCAATACTCATCAATTTGTCTTTTAGGATAATTTAGCAGTTCTCTAAAATTAGAGGTTCTCTAAAACTCAAGCTTATCCTAGCACGGCATACAATACCTTCTATCATTCTTTTCTCAATGTGTGCTATGCACACCTTCTGTCCAGTGTGATCATTTCACATTCCAATCTAATCTTGTATGATTGAACATCCATCCTTAACATCTTATTTCTTGGCAAAAATCTTGGGACCTTTCGACATGGCAAGTCACATATTGATTTACAAGTCTAACTGAGTAAATTTTCTGATAACTCCAAAAGAGAGAGAAATCAAAGGTACCTAACAAGTAAGGTGAGCGTAAAAATGATCTCAAATTACTCAAGATATATGCTTTTTCACTCTAGGCTGTTCACAACTCTAACCACTATGGAAATGAAGCTCCATCAACTTAAATTGGGTGGTGACATCGAAAGCTTATAAAAGAAACACGACACCCGATGAACTCACAAAGAAACAAAATGCAAGACAATGAATCACTTTCTACCAAAGTCTGATTCCTGTAATGTAACCCTGCGCTGTCACATTCAACTCAAGCTAGATTATTCTAATGCTTCCTCGACTTCATTACTGCAGCTAGTCTTAAAGTTCCACCAATCTTCAGTGCAGCTGAAGATCAGTGCACTTTTGCAGCATGGGATTGGGACCTCACATAGCTTAATCCGCGCTTCAGTGTAGGTTCCACGGCGATAATTGCAGCATAGGATGTGACTCGAAGCTCAGTGCAGCATATCTGTGTGTACACACACTCTCTTCATTTGCACCTTTCTTCGCTAAATGAGGCACTTTAATTGCACTTTGCGCTTAAACCCCAAGAAACCTTCGCTACTTTTCTACTCATTTCGTCTTTGATAACATTGACAAAAACAATATAAAAAAGAGCTTGTCCTTGTCCTTAATAATGTGCATTAATGACAGCTCAGAGAATAAGTACAGTTTATAGCTGTAAATTCTCTGTAATGTGGTTTTTCTGCTTCAATACATTCAAACCCTGCCTCCTTAATAAGCAAAAAAACCTTATCCTCATATTTTATTCAAAAGCATACAGAATTTGTCTGTTCTACATTTCAAATCATCCTACTTCCATAATTGTCATTAGCTAAATATATCATTAAAAAGGACAGTCCGGTGCACTAAGCTCCCGCTATCCTGCTATACGTGGGGTCCGAGAAATTCTTCAGCCCAAGCGATGTGGGAAGGGCCGGACCAAGAGGGTAGCAATCATTCTAAATATATCATTACCATTCTAAAAGTGTATTCATTAATTTAATCTTGTTATTGTCAAAGCGAGACATAACGAGTCACAACAAAAGATTCCAACTTTTTACCATAATTTTCTACATAACCACATTTTCCAGAGCCAGTATATTCACTCACAAACAAATATACAATAAAGGAACAAACTTTAGAAAATTCTTGGAACTATATATAGTAAAAAAGAAATGAGGTTATAGAAAATGGCGAAAATACAGCAAGATTCCAGTGATCTTGGAATATTTTGAGCAATTAAGAAAAAAGGGTGTTCAAGAAAACTAACCGCAGACGGGAAAAACCAATTGAAGTTTGAATTGAAGCCATTATTATTATATTATGGTGACCTAATTGAGTAAAAAGATTTAATCTTTAATAGAATTGAAGAAGGCTTGAGAGTTTATATTATGGATAAAAAGGAGTTACGAGAAGCTGCTCTTTGAGCTGTTAAGTCTACCACCGCCACTGTTTGAGGATCATGACGGCTTTGAATATGAACCGTTGGATTAGAATGTTCTTTTGCGATAAATATTCACAAATAGCTTTCACAAATGTGTTAGGAATTTCACAATTCAAAAGACAAAAGATAATATGGTATGGTAGGACAACTCTTTTAAACTACTATTAATAGACTTGTGGGTTAAAGAAAAGTTAAGGAAATGAGAACCAAAATAAAAAGATAAATACTAGATTTATTTTTTGGGATCTTTACATAAATATTTAGTCGAAGTAATAGTTTACTTTCCATAGTTGCTAAACATAGATTATACATAAATTATATATTCACTAACTATATTTAATTTAAGCGAATGGGTAAAAGGCTATTTAGATTAATTACTTCAAATTATTTTTTTGTCATTTGGAAGTTGAAAGTACCAAAATACTCATATGATAAAATGGTTGGAATACAATACAAGGTTTATGCATTTGATAGAGAGTACTTTACTCCTAAAGTAGAACTTCTATGAATGGAATTAGTTGAGTCCCAAAGTGATGGTATTGGTACTGGACATTAAATGAGATATATTTATGCATTTATTTTAAAAAGATTCTATTTCAATTTATACCTTGAAGTTAAAATGAGAATTAAAAAGATCTAGGGTTGTTTGGTTTTTGGGAAAGATCGGGAGGATTTGAAGTTATCCATAGTCCAATGTTTGTTTGGAATTGGGAGGAAATGGTTGTCAAATTCAACAAATTATGCCTGCAACTAATTAGCTTGGACGAGCCCGTTTGATATAAGGTTTATAAGGTGCATTTCATTACATTTCCATGTTTAAAACCCCAACTATATTATCCTTAAAAAGATGGAGTCAGGTGGACGCAGCTCTGTGCATAAATTATTTTGCGTTCACACACGATTCGAAAAAAGGCCGTTCCATAAGAATGTGATATAGACAGTCTATCCTAATGATATTGTTTACCCTAAAAAATGGATAACAATTAAATTTGTAAGTGGTTTTAAGGATACATGGACTTATTCAATACAAATGGTAAAGATTGCTAGAATAAACAGGCAAGAGATGTAATAATTATCAAACCGCTTGAAAATAAGGGAGATGATTCTGGACTCGAGAGCAGCCTCAACGAGGTATACGTCTTCGATCCTGGGCTTATAATAATGAAACACAGATCAACAATGTAAGAGTTATGAATAACCGAGAAATAATAGTATTATGCTTTGGGATGCGTGTTACAATGTTTCAATGAATAACCAAACCCCACCTTTATATAGTAGGAGAATCCCACTCTAAGTACAATTTCATAAAAGGCAAAAATCTCCCGTTTAACTAATTAGTGGATTCCCGTCGGTACGTGCCGAGATCCGTGCCGTGATACCCGGTTGGTCACGGATATTACGGCCTTCCATTAATGTCACGACCCAAAATTCCACCACATGCGTCGTCGTGATGGCACTTAGTCTCTAAGACTAGGTAAGCCGATTTTAATTACAATTCAAGCCATTTTTTTGAAATAGATAATCGAAACCCACGGCGGAAATAATTATAACAACCTCCCAAGACTGGTAATACAGAGTCACGAACTCTAACTGAATACATGCAATGATCTTAAGGATCGAATATACAATAATGTTCGAATAGGAGTTGACAGTACAATATAATGGAAAAACTCCAAGGGACTACGATGACCAAGCAGTCCTACCTTGAATCCTTGCGATCACACTCTAATCTCTATCCGAATATGATATCTTCAATACCTAGCTCTGCACAAAAATATGCAGAAGTGTAGTATGAGTACACCACAGTCGGTACCCAGTGAGTATCAAGACTAACCTCGGTGGAGTAGTGACCAGGTACAATCAAGACACTCACTAGTCAAATAACCTATGCAATATAGCATACAAAAATAATAGAAAATAAATAG